TTTTTTTTTTTGTCGTCTAATGGACAAGTCGTGGGTGTCATGTGATTCGCTGACATTAGCAGGATGTCCTCTAAAGAGACTTAATGAGGTTAACACATGCCACTATTTACTAGATTGCTCTATATTTATAGATCTTATTGCTAATTCAAAATTGCATAATTAAATTTTAGTTATTAAAAACCAAAAAATATAAAAATTTCTTACTTAACTGATTACTTATTATTTAAATATATTTTCGATTGCACAAAGGGCAAAATAGTAACAATAATAACTCATTAATATTTTAGCACTGTTGCATTGTCACTCTGTATGTGTGACTTCTCTCTAGGTTCACTGGCTTTTCACCACAGCCCAAAAACCTGCATTTTTGGTGGTCCTGCATCCAGTTGAATCCAGGCTCTTAACCAGTTACCACTGAAGATAGGCACCAGAGCCCTAAAAATATAATAGAGTACAGTATAGACATTTGATAGAAACGCTTATCATTGTTAAACACAATAGTTTTAAATGCTTACAACTGAAAGACATATTTTCATACCTTTCTCAAAACATCTTAAAAAGATTAGATTATCAGCAATCTAGATGTGACTTACATTTTCATGAGGACTTAATGTAAATAAAGACTAAGCATCACCCTTATGGCCCCCAGAGATTGTCAGAGTGGTTCACAGCTCCCTCAAGTGGTATATGACTAACAAAATATGTGACCTCTCTGTGTATGTAGTAACTGCCCCTGCATATGTGAGTGTGTGTGCTAGCCTTCATGCAAAGGAAATATATTTATTTAGATATATAAATATATTTATGTGTATATATAGATATATATCTAAATATATCTATATATATATGACATAAAGGTATAGGGAACCTCTTTTTAACCAACAGCTAAAGTTGAGGAGCGGAAAAAAGGCCTTTAGGCCTTTAAAAGCAGGATTCATTTGCTAAAGCTAACAACTTAGTAGTGGGCATACATTTTAATCGAGATTAATCTCAGTGTAATCTCGGAGTTAATCGAGATTAATCTAGATCAAGATAGCTCATTTGAATTCTACCAAAGGCATTCATGATATGTGTGTGCTATCTCCTGAGTTTAAAAGGTTTGCTTTTTTTATGTTTGCAAAATCACACGTAATTTTGTCTTCTTAAGATTTTGACAAAGTTATAAATACTTTTTTTGCTAATTTTTTACTGTGTTTTTGCTGCAAAAAATTGTGTCCCACCTCCAATTATAGATGTCCCACTTTAACAATAGAGTGTCCCCAAAAATCTGACACACACACGTCGCCTCGATCAAGTTCTCTTCTTTCGCGGGTTTCTCCGCAGCGGGCTGGTCATGTATTCTCCTCATCATAGTTCACCTTGCAGGTAGTTGTAATATGGCTCACCTGTGGCTGCCTGGAGAAAGAGCTCGAGCCCATCAGTCATGCTGATGGGCTGGCAGCTTGTGGCTATCCACTAAGCGAGGAGATTGGTTAGCTTGGCTGATAGATGTGCGTATAGCTGCATCAATGTCAGCACATCACGTTCGATGTGGTAATTTCACAGCACACCTACACAGGTTCGAAGACTTATTTGTTCTCTGCCCCAGATATACATCCATACCAGATATAGATCTGTGCTAAAATATTAAGGTGGAAGTCCATACATGGTGTAATGCATTTCTGTGATAATTTTGTGATTATAATTTACTACTAAATATATTGCAATATATTTTTGTTTTTTTAAAGGTTTTTCACCTTGTGAAATGGTAAATTTATGCAAAATCAAGTTCATACTTTGGTAGCTTCCACTGGTGCAACAAAAACAAGTCCTTCAGCAAATGACTGCAGCTGTTTGTTGCTAAAAGCCTTTTATCTGCTCCTCAACTTTAAGGGTGGATTAAAAGGAGGTTCCCAATACTTTTTATGTCATCTTAATAGCTACAGACAAATCCCCTCCTAGCAGTAGAGGACATGATTATGAGCCTCTTGCTTTTAAGTGTTAGGCTCGAAATTCTTTCTTGTTAAATATGTAGGATTTATTTTTATTGTGTCCTGTTCTCTCCATTCCATTCTTGATTCATTGAGCTCTACTTTTTTTAATTGCTGACCTGATTTTTTTCACTCTTTTCTTGCCTTATTCACCAACCTATCTTTCAGCTTTTTCTATTTTTATGTTTCTCTCACTCCTCTAGTTATTTTACATTTTTCTGTAACATATTTTCTCAAATGATTTTCTCATCCTTATTCCCTGCTATTGTAACTGGTCCATTTTAATCCTTTTCTCTCCTCTTTCATTATTCCTCTAAGTGTGGCTTATGCTTTTTCCATTTTACATTATCCAAAAGTAAAACTTTCAGTTTCTTCCTCTGCCCTGAAACATGAATCATAAATGACTTTTTCACAGTTTCTCACTGAAACACAGTTAAAGCCCCAGCCAAATTGAAAAAGGATGTTGGGACTCTTGTAAAATAATTAACAGCCTTAGTAAGTTTTAAGATTCCAAGCTGTTCTATTTTTATGAAAGGTTTCTGTATCTGTATTTTTGCCTAGAGAAATTACCACATAAAACCAGCTGGAGGGCAGTTAGAAAGTTTCATTCGACCCTATAGAGGTTGTCATTTGTTTCTCATTGATAGTGGGAAGGGGATGTAGATGTTTTTTTCAGCCATGGTGTTTTTCTCCAGAATGTTTTTGTCTTCATTCACTGTAGGAATATTGACCATGTTGTGTGTTTCTTTTTGTTTCTTCCAGCTGCCCCGAGTTCGGATGACGTGGCTCTCTACGTGGGCATTGTCATCGCTGTGATCATGTGCCTGTTCATCTCTGCCATTGTGGCACTCTTTGTATATCGCAAGACACACCGGGACTTTGACTCCGACATCATTGACTCCTCAGCTCTTAATGGAGGCTTCCAGTCTGTGAATATAAAAACAGCCAGATCAGGTAATAAACATATATTCAAAGTTTCACATAGAAATTTGCTAGAGGCTGATTATTTGCACATCTACTCATTGTTTGAGTTTTGTGCTGATGTTTAAATTCTAATATAATTATTTTTTTGTTGTGATCAGTAGACATGGAACAAAGCAGAACACAAATATAGTGCATTGTGGTGCATTGTTCACCTCTAAAAAAATCCCAATCTTGTAAGTGCATCAACAATCTTCACCTGAAAAGTAAAAGAAAAAAAATGGCAAAGCCAAAGTCCAGACTTTTTACCTGATGAAATGCTGAGGTGACCCTTTATACATCCACATTATATAGAATTAACATCTTTAAAAAGACTTTTTCCAACACTGAAAAATGATGTGAGGAACAATTGCAAACACATTCAGACTCAGGATATTGCTAGTAAATCTTTCAATAGCTATTCAATCATGAAGTGTTTTATTCTTCACATACTTTGTTTCCATTTTGGCTTAATCTGTGTTTAATAAATAATTATCAAATAATCTAGCTACTTGTAAAGTGAGTTAGGTTCAAATAACTGTAGAATCTAATAAAGACTATATTTTCCATGACTGTACACTGCTAAATGATGGATTGTCTAATAACAGATGTGATGTTGTTTTCATGTAAATAATTCCACCTGTCACATGCTTTTTAAGGCCTTTATGCCAGTGTCATTTATTTTCTTTGCCCCCATAATGCTGTCAGTCTCTGATGGTTTGGATTAATCTATCTCTTCCAGAAACTGCTCTAATCCATCAAAGGAGATCCTCTGTGCTCCCCTCTCTGTCATTCCCCACTCTCTGTTATTTCTTTTTTCTCACTGCTTCCCTTCTGTAAATTTAATGCAATCAAATTCCCTGTTTATCAGCATTTGACTCTCTTCTTTCCCCTCCCAGATTCCAGGCTTTACATATGATGTTGTTGTTTTTTCCCTCACAAAAACAACATCTGTCTTTATGTTTAAATTGAGCAATACTTTACATATAACTTATGCTGTCATTTTGTCATTTCCTTGCATTTTTAAATACCTCACTGTTAAAATGTTGCAACAGTATCAGGCAGCTGAGGTTATCACATTTTTTCTTATGGAATTTCTGCCTATAAAACTCAGGATTTTTTTGTGCAGGATGACATTTATAAATATGCTAGCACAATCACAAGTGTAGCCATCTAGGGATGTCCTAACGTGATATTGATTATCAGCCTGCCCTTAAAATTTCCAATATTGGTACATTGATCAAAACACTATGCTTCTGTCTAGAGTTTGTATAACCCTTTGTTAATAGGTGAATCAGATGGACTCATGCATACCGCTGTTCGCTATTGTTCTGTTTGAGTATTTATCTCTTAATCAAACCTTTGTTTTATCATTCCACACCGCAAAATAAGAATAACAAAATGCATGATTATTGCTTATATCATATCAGGTCAATATCAGTATTGGTCAATTCTCAAAGTTATTGTATCTGAAATGAAAATATTTAACCGGGACATTCCTTATGCCAACCACTGGAAGGCATTTCCGACCCTACGTGATAAATAAATACTACATAATACAATACTAATTAAAAAACAATATTTGGAAACACCTTGAAATGAACTTATGATTTTATTAGATATGGTACTAAAATTACAGAAAGAAATCCTAAACCATTAACTGAATAGTTCAAATAACCCTCCCCTTATATTTTGTGTAAATTACCAATTTCCATGCACAACAAAAAAATATACACATGTCAAAACTAAAAATAGAATATTTGTAACTACAATTGTGTAATCTTGTCATTTGCATTTAAGTGTACTTTTGGGGAGAAGTAAGCATCTTGCAGCACGTGGAGAGTAAAGTGATAGTCTGTTTGAGCTGGCAATCTATGGATCCGATTAGGATGCAGATGCCCCATTTTTAAATCACTAGGTCAACATTCTTAGCTAAAATTTACTTGATTTAATTTCAAACCTATAATATATCTATCTACAGTATATTCTATAATTTCAGAAACTTGAATATCAATGACCTAAGCTACAACTGTCACATTTCTTAACAGCAGAATCATTGTATGCTAACTGAGGAAGAAAAACTGCTACAGTATTTCTCAGTGGTCCAAATTTCTTTTTTCAGATGAAAGTAATTTACCATTTGATTTGGAAATCAAGGTCCCAGAGTCTGGCAGAGTAGTGGAAGGAAACTTAATTCAAGTTGTCTTTTGTGAAATTTCTGCAGTCAGTGAAGTGGGGAGCTGTGTCATCTGCTGCTTTTTTCCCCTTGCCTTAGCAAGTCTAAAGTTATCACAACCTTTTTTCTAAGAAGTTCTTAATGGCATACTGGTTATTATTTCCCAGCAGCACATGGTGCATTTCTGCTGTTCCAAAACTAACTGGTTTGATACCCACTACATTACTATAATTAAGTGGCCTGCAAACTCACCTGGCCTAATAACAACCATGCAGAAGAATATAATGACAGACTAAGGATGAGCCAATGACTGGTCACATCCATCAAATGCTGCTTTGATCCAGGAATTTATACATTTTATACAAAGAGAGCAAGTACTTAGTACATGAACTGTATAGTTCAGGGATGTTGTTTTTAGATAGCTGACAAGTATTCGTTAAAATGTTTTCTCTTTTGGGTCTTACGCAACATTATGATTTCCTAAGGAAATCACTTTTTGGCATTCATCAGCTTTAAGCGGTCATAATCCAAATATACAAAAAGGGATGGAAGTGATTTAACAGTACTCCTGTTTTTGGACTTCACTGCCTAAAAAGAGAAGCATATTTTTTATAGACTAAGACTTTTCTTGTTGGCTTTTCAAAGCACTTTTTTAAAAGCTAATTTCTGTAAAACCGTTAGCCCTATTTGTGAATAGTAAAAGGTTTGTGTTTATGTGGCAATTTGAGCCTGGGTGATTAGAATTCCACTCACTGTTTACAATTAAAACAAGAAAGGAAGATCTGAGAGGGAGTAAAAACCCTAGCAAGCTATAAATAAATATTTATATTCCGTGCTGAATGTCTTGTGTAGGCTATACTGTAGACCGGGGAATATTTAATCTGTGAAGCATTGCAATGGATGTCAATGTGGATTGAGGGATGACCTCGGATTGCTAATAATGAAGAATGATGTCCTTGAATATATCTACTTCTTTCATAATTTTTCCTCTACTTGTTAATTACATTTCAGCAGGGCTTATTTAGCAGGGATATCCATTTACTTTAAGGGTAAACAGCATAAATGTAGAGATACTAAATGACTGATTGCTCAAAAGTGTGCGTGTGTGTGTGGTTGGTTGAAAGGAAGGTCATGACGACTGACTATAAAGTAGGAAGTGTCTCTTGAAGGCCACAGCAGGATTTCACATGCTATGCCCCAAATAAATGAGCCTGATGTGAACAAAGCTAGATTTGTTCTCAGTAGGCAACTGTCCTTCTGTGATCAAAGCAAAATTTTGTAAGTTATGATTATGTTAATTATGGTTATGCCTCCAGCCTGCTTGGACAGCCCACTTATTATTACATGAGGCTGCTCTTTATCAACTGTGAGGTAATGGAGTGCACAAATTACAAGCTGCTGTAAATTCTATTTTTTTTTTATATTGAAACCATATAAAAAGAAGAATTGCATGACATCCTTTGGAAATTGGTTACTTCTTCATTCCTGAACAGTAGCCTTCTCTGACAGACATCCAGAGTGACATACTGAGATCTTTACCCAGGGCATTTAAGATGTGCAGCTTTGAGGCATGTCATTGTTAACCGAGAAAGAGGAAGTTATCATTCAAATGTTCACAAATGCTGCTTTAATATTTATTACAAATATGTTGAGCAAAAGTTACTTTATTAAAAAGCTTTATTTAAAGAACATAACCAGCAAGTTTTAACTTCCTTGTTTCAACCCACTTCCTCAGCTCACCTTTGTAATAATTAATCAAGCTTTAGATTATCCAGTAAGTGAATGTGTCAAATGTGGGCCCTGTCTGGTTTCTGTTTTTAAGATAAGTAATAATTTTTTCAAAAGAGCAAATTCTGGAATAATTAGGTTCTCAAAAATACAAGTAAAAACTCTGCTGAAATCAGTTATGGACTGCAGATACTGCAGAGAAAAATAATAATAACAATAACTGTTGAATAAGTATAAGTTTTATTAAGTTGTTGTTACCTATATACTTCCAATTCACAGCTAATCCCATTAGATTACATGCAGGTAATGCTCAGCTATAGATTAATTTGATAAATTTGAGATTAGCTTATTCCGGTACAAATAGTCAAATAGTTTCAGTCAGATTCAAGTTCAGTCCAGTCCTTTCATCATTTAATGTGAAATGGCAAAAAGTTATTTATCTAGGAAAGTCCAGCTGACATTCACGCAACTAAAACAGCTAATATAACACTCTACATGTTTATATGCTGAAAATGTGAGTTCTTTCTTGAAAATGCAGACTTTGGGCAATGCATCTTCAAGTTCAAGTAATTTTATTCTCCTTAATGGGAAACGTATTGCACTGGCAGGTTTTTTTAAAAAGAAAGAAATGGTGGAGTGTGTCACTGAATGCAGAGGCTTGCCATTAATGCAGGGGTGTGGGGTTAAGTCCCAACCCTGAGACCCTTTATGCAAGTCGTCCACTTCTCATTCTACCCATTTCATCTCAGTCTGCCCCAAAGGAAGGTCACTAGCACTAACATAAGAAATGGTGATGATTTGATTTGCTTTGTGTAGAAAAAAAAAAGGTGCAGGCCTCACTCTGGGGGTAATGAACATGTTTTCCAAACTTGAAACTATTCAATCACTTGGAGCAAATCTAAGGCCATTCCTATTTCATTTAATAGCTGTTTTTTTTTGCTCACTGCCTCCTTCAAGCAGCTCCACATGTGAAATCACTATGACCAATTCACAATCCAAATCATTACTGCTCTGCTATCCTACCAGCTTCATATTACTCAGAAGTCATGCCTACCTTCATGTTAGTGCCCTTACTCTGACTTAATGATCTTGCAACAATTTCGACTCGCGTAATGCTGAAAAAAGGTTACTTAACACGACCCATCACTGTCCTTGGTGAATCAGGTGCCATATTGCTTCTCTTTCTTGTATCAGATTTAATTCAATGATTATCCCTTTTGTCATGTCATTTCAGCTGATCTACTGACTGCACCTCCTGACCTGACAAATGCAGCTGCTATGTATCGTGGCCCAGTTTATGCCCTTCATGATGTGTCTGATAAAATTCCAATGACCAACTCCCCCCTCCTGGAGCCTCTACCTAACTTGAAGATCAAAGTCTATAACTCATCAGGTCTGGTCACACCACCAGATGACCTCGGTGGGGACTTCACTTCAAAATTGTCTCCTAAGGTAGTTACAAATGCATCCACTAATACTGTAGATATGAGGCACAATCTTAAATCTTCATATATTAATGTTTTCTCACTGCAAAGGTTTATTGTTGGCAGGAAAAACATCAGATATTGTCTATAGTATAACAGTACAAAAAAACTGGATTTGAAAATGCAGGTGTCTCTGGTGGAAGACAAAAGCAAACACTATTAGTATACATATGGTTTGGCGCCCCAGTTTCTTACCTTTGCTCTGACAACTACATGGCATGCATACTAGAGCCAGTTGTCACACAGAGATGAAGCCACCACCAGATTCATCACAGTAGCTGACCGGAGGCAATGTTAGAGTTTAGCTCCTCATCTCTACATGATGATGATGGTGATGGTGCATTAAATAGTATAATTGCTTTTTTTTCTTACCTTAAATGTTTTGAATCACCTGCTGTGGCTAATAGATGAAATTGCCTCACTTTTGTAATCAGATTGTTTTTATTGAAGTCACACTTTATGCATTAAACTGCATCTAGTTTTTCAGAACACCGGTTTGGATGTAAACTAGTACATTTTACATTTCTGCAGTGTAGAACAAAAGAGAAAAACTGCAAGAGCAGCTAAAGGTAGAAACATACTGTACACTAACTCAGTGTTGCCATGGACAGTGAAAATCTTTATAATCCTTTAGTTGTAATTGTAACCTTTCTTATAGAATTCTATATTTTATTTTACATATGTTTGTGTGTGCCTTTTAGCATTACATAGTTTAGAATATATATTTTTATTTTTTCCATGGATGGATAGTTCTAAGTATCTGGTGTAGCACTCAATACATACAAGTTTATGTCTCATCTCATAGGTCTTCCTCGACATCTTTTTGTCATTTTGACTATTGCCATTTATTATTCCTAGGTTACACAGTCTCTTTTGGACAACAGTGACACCCTGAACCTTCGCAGCCAGAGTTTAGCCCGGACTAGAGATCCCTCCTGCACTGCCCATGGATCCTTCAATAGTCAGGGAGGACACCTCATCGTACCCAATTCAGGTTAACTTTGTGAATAAACATTATATAAATCTATAATGAATCTAACTTATCTGTCTGTCTATAATGTAGATAGATAACAGTTTCAGAAATTGTTACCATGGCATAAACCTGTCAATCAGTTTGAAAAAGTAACAATAATTCATTAATATGTTTTATTTTGAACAATAATTTGAACTTTATCATAGGCAAGGTTCTTTTGAATATTCACATTTTGTAATAAAAACAAAATGTTTAGTCTACTTCAGTTAAATAGTGGACATTTTTGCATAACAACCCCTTTGCTTCAGCAGTGTTTTATAATGTTTTAATAAAAAAAAAAACAATCAGCCACTTCCCTTCAAAACAATTACATCACTTCCTTCAAAATTATTTGACCAATTAAAACTCAGGGGAAAGGTTTTCGGTGAAAGGCAACTACACAATGTTTAATCCTACAACTTGTGGATCACTAAAGGTGTCTATCCATCTGTTACATTGGCGTGGGCTTTGTTTGACTTTAAATTTGGACCTACAGTACAGATGCAGGCTAGTCTCCTATGTTGGTTGAAATGTATTTCTCCTGACATAGTCTGTTCCCCTGACTTCGACTTTAGGTTTATATATAGTGATGTTGACTGTAGTTGATTGTAGATGGGTGATGGGGATAGGCTTGTGTATGGTAAGCAGACAATTTGCAGTATGGGAAGAGAATAGGCTTTTAAGACAGGATTCAAAGATACTATAAAAAAAAAAACAACACTTAGGGTTTAATTTCAGATTTCCTCTTGCATATGTCTGTTGTGTTGTCTTTGAAACCTTGAGATACTTATCCAAATTAATTCACATGTTGGCACCTCAAGATACCAACATGTGGGTTCATTTGAACAGCAGATAGGACCAATGACTCAAGTGAACTTAACGGCCCAATAAGCCACTTTAAAGACCTTATTTAGAGCCTTACCATCCATCTTAGTCTTATCATTTGGACTGCAGTTTAAGTTCTTTATTGTGTTAAAGAAATAAAAGAAGTACAGGCCTATTAAAAGAAAAGTTTACAATTTTTTAAAGGTACGGCAGCACTTCCAGCAGAACGTCATTTCAGTTGCACTGCCAGAAAAAAATCTTTAAAACACAAAACTAGAGTGTAAAATGTAGAGCCTTTATGTCTGAGTAAAACAATATTTTAAAGGGGGAAAAAATGAATAGTCATTTAATAATGATGATAAATAAATGAAATCCCCACAAGGACAAGATTTTGTTCTGTTCCCAAAGAATAATATTGCTCTTGTTTGAATAATGATTTCCCTTGTGGGCAGTGTATTAAAGAGGATCAAATATTTGTTCAGGTTTTTTCTATAATCTGAACTATTCTTGTTGGATTTATCTACTCTTTAGTATTCTTATGTAATTTTTTAAAGAAGAAAGTTGGCAAAGATAATGAATAATGCAACCGGTTGAGATATGAAGCAGTTTTAAACTCTACGGTATGCATATTCAGCTGATGATATATCAAAGAGAGGGTAGTACATGGGACGCCTTTAAAAACTGTGTTTTAAAAACATTTATCAAGGTGATAGAATAGGGGCTGGTTGTGCATTCAATGATTCAGTTGTGCATTGAGAAATGTATTTATGTAAAAATAAACTTATTTTGCCTTGTCTGTTTTACCGTATACACTTACCTTCCTGCAGGTGTGAGCTTGTTGGTGCCAGCAGGTGCCGTCCCACAGGGTAGAGTGTATGAGATGCATGTCACTGTTCACAGAATGGACAACTTAAGGTAAATTTTGAACATATTTATGTAAATTTCAGATCTTATCAACTAAAATTTTGGTTTACCGTTTTGCTCATGGTACAGTGTACAGTAATTCCCACTCTTTCTCTGTTTTACTTAAATTTTTTTTTATTATTATTATGAATGCATGCTTATATGATGCTTGTATCAAAGTTTTGTATACTATCTTACAAATAAGGGACAGAAAGAGATTGAACGTATTTTTTTTATGTTATTTTTTTTTTTATTATATGCTGTATAATTATTGATCATAGATATAATCCTGGTTTGTCCACATACAATAAATACAACTGCCTTGTATCACCAAACAAAAACCAATTCTAGCACTGGAACTGAGATGAGCTAATCAAAACAGCTTGTCTTACACATCATGATAAAACAATTAGTATCACAATCTATGTAGTATTTCATCTATTAACATTGTTTTCTTCAATATCTAATTCACAGCAAATACTGTATAGTGGAATATAAGGTGCTTAACATCAAAACTGCCAAATATAGACCAAACTAAGGCAGAGTGTCGTGCAAAAAAACAGATTTACATTTCTCCCTTATGGTGTTTTGGGACCAAAAACAAACATGAAGCTTTTGAACGTAAATGATGTAGTTTGTGTTTTTGCACATTAACTCAGATTAGTGGCTAGTTTGGGGATTACTGTAATCCTATTACTTGCATAATAATTATTTACTCCTAAATCCTGACATGTTTGAAGTTGAACCTTTTGTGATGAACAGCATACTGGGGAGAAGATTTTTGTAGTTTTACTCTTTATTTTGAAAGCTGACTGCACGCATTGGTTTTGGAAGCTGCTCAATTTCTTTTGCAGTCTTTTAAAAGCAACGACACAAACGTGGGTTCATGTGAAAACAGAGATGCACTTTAATAATGATTTGGGTAAGTAGAACTTTAAAGATTCTGTAAAACTAAAAGACACAGTCTGAAGTAAAAACTCAGTCTCTGGATCTTTCCAGTGCATCTCTCAATAAATGTGGATCGAACATAATTAGGACCTCTGCTACTTGCGGTAGTGTTTGTAAGAGTCAAACAACTTCTGTGTCCTCTGACTTCATCTCAGTCAATAACTGGCAAGCAAAACTTATAAGGCCAGTTTCATCGACGTACCTCAGCAATAAATTGGCAAGCAAGAATTTTGTGCCTTACTTTATGATAACATAAGGGATTAGTTCAGTCAAAGACCACCACCACCAAACACACACATAGAACTTAAACAACATATTTCCATGCTTCTATTATAATAGAAAAAATAATGTAAACATTAAATAGCCCAAAGTTACTCTTAACCCTGGAGGATAAAGGTTAACTGTAATCTTTTCATTTCATATTGGTGAATTTCATTTGAGTAGATATAATTTTAAAATGTTGATTTTGGAGTGGTCTGGCAAGTTTTTATTTAGTTCAGGGAGCAAATCAAGACCAAAGGAAATGATCAGAATCGAAGCAATTGAACAGCTGGTCAGCAATCCCTTGAAGGGTGGAAATACTTCAATGTCAATATAGGTATTTTATTTATTATTACTTTTCAACAAATATAATACAAAATAACACTTTATATAATTGGCACCCATTTTACATCGTTTTATTTTAACTTCAGAGATACCTATCTCTGAAAAAAACAAACTTCTTTATTGAGTAGAAATATTTTAAAATCGCCGTCTGCCAGAGTTATGAGTATTTTTTGGTAATAAACTGAATATGTTCAGTAAACCTTCAAATCCTCAAAGGTACAGACTCAAGGGCAATATTTGAGAAGTGAGGTTGTTTAACTCTTGCTTTAATCACCTTCCCCTGCTAACTTTGCCACAGTCGATGTTGAGATGTAGTGATTGAATCAATATTGCTGATAAAAAGCAGCACCCTATGAAAACAGTGAGATAAAACTTTGATCTCTAAACTCTAGATCCGACATAACATGGGGCGTAACGGTTAATAATTACCCTGAATTGGTCGTTTGTACTCACTTTGAGGATTACATGCTCAGTTTGAGATTTATAGACAATAGAGGGTCTCTAAATGATAATTGATAATGGAATCAATTTTGATTAGTTATACATTTTAAACAAGGTACACAATAGCAGACAACTGATCTACTCCTGTAATGTAACATACAAACAGTCATCTTAGTGCCAATAATAGCATAAAAGAAAAAAAGAAACTGCAATCTTTTTCTTTATGCCTGTTAGCTTGCAACTACTGTGTCCAGCTGTAACTGATGGTACCGATTATTCTCCAAATTAATATCTGCTGTTTGTCGTTGCTTGGTTACTTACCGAAACAAGCTTATTTAGCCCTTATAATTTCTATAGTAATGACATTTACCCATTCTATGTATTCTGTCTGTTTTTTTTATATAGTTACTTTAGATCAGAATTTAATAGTTAAACTCAATAATGCATTTTGTTGAGCCGAATGTGTGCTAGTCAACAGGATTTTTACTATTCTCCTAATAAAGCAAATTTATAGAGGACATTTTTATATGGTTTTTGCAACTATTACAATTTAAACCTTCTGATAAATTCCTGCACAGTTATGTCATTTTTGCAGCAAAATTACCATATGGACTTAAGAATTTTTTGTACAAAAAATAAAAAATAAAATCTCTATTATCAAGTGGTGACTTTTAAGAGTAACAGTGTTTATACAAGCAAAGATTAGCAAAGACACACAAAAATGTAAAAATACAAGTAAATATAAAGTTCTCAGTTTCTTTTAATAAAGTGTTTGAAAAATCAATTTGTTCGTCCTCACTTTAGTGTTTCGGATGCCGATGTTCAGTTCTGCTACTGTCAGCAAGGGGGGGGTTAAGTTGCTTGAGGACCCAAATGCAGAGATGAGTTCTTGTAGATTTAATAGGGCAACTGAGACAGACATCCAAAAAACATCAGGGAAAACTCACGTGGGGAATCAGAGACGAGAAAGCAATTCACAACAACAGGGAACCAGCACTGAATGACTGCAGAGGTGGGGTATATAAGGAGACCAGAACAAAGGATGGACTAATGAGCTGAATAAAGAGCAGGTGTGAGTGGAACTAACTAGAAGGAAGCCAGGGGGAAAGGAGACAAGCACAAGCGGGCAACAGAGAGTAACTAAAGATTACTTGAATATAATGTAAAATAAACCGAAGATCAACAAAACAGAATAACTAATAACTGAAAACTAAAAACTCAGAGTCCTAAAATTGGAGAACCATGACAGTACAGATAACAAACCAATCCATGTAATTCCAAATGCTCCAAACTCTAACTCTTGTTCATCCAGTCATTGTCAATTTTTTTATGTAAATGGAGGGGCTCTATGGAGAAGACCCATAGGTGGGAACAGGCTAGCAGAGGCAGTTCAGTGAGTGGATGTAGTATGAAATTCTTTTCAGAAAATTGACTTGTTGTAGCATATAAAGCAACATTGACTTATTAGGAATATTTCAATCAAAAACCTGAGGCACAGAAGAAAATGAAGAAATACTACTAATTAGGTAACCAAAGCATAAAATAAAAATTTAACAAATTTAATTAAACAGCAAATGTTAATCATGTAACGGTATTGACATGTTATCCCTATTTAGACGCATATTTAAGAGCAAAAGTGATGTAAAAGCTGCACTCCTAGGTATGCAAACAGCATGATTAGGGCAAATACAGTGAAAGCTAAAGCTTGACATATTATGGATTGCGATAACAATCAGGGACAGGAATCTGGCTGTGATGAAGGGTGAAGCAGTACAGTGGAGATAAAGGAATGCTCTTTAGAGGTTTGAGAATGACTTTGAGTAAATCTGTATTAATTTAGCCCTTAAAAGGTTCGTTAAATTATTCATTATTCGTCCTTCTCTTGTAGCTCCAGAGCTGGTCCCAGTCAGCAACTGCCTCTGCCCTGCTCTGGTGCTCTCTCTGTCCTGCCTCTTGCTCCTTTATCCCAGAAGCAGGGCACGGCCAGCTACCTCTGCCCAGCTTGGGTACTCTCTCTGCATTGATTCTTGCTCTGAACTCCCACTGCTCCTTTCTGAGCTCCAAAGCGCCACCAACACCTTACCTCTGTTTTCAAATGATCCTCCCTCAAAGCTGGATAAAAGTTTCAGGTCCTGGTCAAAGGGAAGTACAATGAGAAATGACTGTAAACCAGCTGTACGTCCTGGACGCCGCAAACTGGTAGAATCTCTGGAAGACATGGTGGTTCAGTTTAGGTTATTTTGTTTTATTAAAGTCAGAGAAGTGTTGTAGAAAACTATGTATGAGCACAATGAAGGGAAGAAAGTAGGAAGCTTGTGACACCATTTAGTATAACAAAAAAAATGTTTAGGACGACATTCTAATCTGGGGGTTGTTGGACACGTAAATCCTCAGATCTAATCCCCACTAAGCTTGTCCCTTAGCTAACAAGCTTTATGAATATGATGATTTTATTTTCTTGCAGGAATTATTATCTGTTCATACTTCAAATTTTTCCAATACTGTAATGACCATGATGCGACTATGGTGGACTGGTCAAAGACATTTTTCTTACATGAACCCTGTCAAAAAACTAGGGAGCATCTTGAGAAGGAAGCTGAAAGAGACAGGACCCAATATTCTTGTTGAAATAAGGTTATTGGATCTGCTCTTAACACCTGAGGAGATTCTGTCTCGGCAATAATTCATGTAAAACAAGCCAGGGCCAAGTATTAAGCATGCAGGGAAATGTAATGACATATTTTTTAGTAGGTCAAACTTTTACTTATAAACATTACTTAAATATTTCTCTTGAAAAATGTTATCACTTATAAGTAATATTTAAGTTCTTTCAGGAAATAGATTTGTGTTTTTATTATTTTAAAGCCAAAAATATCTAAATCAGCAGGCATAGATGCCAAAAAATTGATATATGTGTCTTATTAATCAAAACACAAGTTTCTCTTTTCAATCTAAAATATTTGAATAAAAATTGTTAAAAAATAGTACATATTTGGGCTGCAACTTTAAATGTAAATAGTCATAGTGTGTAGCTGTTTGTAGAAAGGTATTGAATCACTGAATATCTAGTTAGTAGGCGATAATTGAAAGGATTAGATCTAATTAAAAGTTTGTTTTAGGGATTCCTTTATTGCTTTATTTTTTTTCATAAAAAGTTTTGGGACATCATGGAACCAAATCACAAAGTCAGCAATTACGCATTTTCCGATTCATTTTCAGTAACCTTTTTATAATATCCAGGCTGCTGGATGTCTTCTCATTTTATTCATTAATTTGATACAAATGTTATCTATCATTTCCAGACCCCCTGTTGAAGACATTCAGACAGTTCTCAGCCCAGTGGTGAGTTGTGGACCTCCAGGTGTCCTGCTGACCAGACCAGTGATCCTCACCATCCACCACTGTGCAGACAATGTCCATGAGGACTGGCTCATACAGCTCAAGAATCAGTTGCCCATGGGAGAATGGGAGGTAAGCTCCCAACTCTGTACCAGGAATGTCTGCATTTCTATGTTAAATTCCTTTATAGTGCTTCCACTGCAGAAGTTTCATCTATAGAGCAGATGGGTTTTATAATTCAACTTAATGTAGATATAATGATGTGAATGAGCATATGTGGTTAAATATTAGTCAAAACAAACCAATATTATAAATAATTGTAGAGCTAAACCTGTTCTCTGCCAAATTGCTAATATGAGCTCATGAATACGCATAGCTTAGACATGCAGACACTCACATTAGAAAAATAACCTGAATTACACAGATATGGTGTGTAGCTGGTGTGGAATGGAAAGGAAAACGAAGAATGGAAGACAGAATGTGGTAAACAGAAAGTGCCTACAGGCTAGTAGACAAGCAGGGGGTTGAAGACTCCTATCAGAGGCAATTTGTTATGCTCCCTCTATCCTCCTCTTCTTTCATTTCACTTCCTATGTGTCTATCCCTCCCTTTCTTCTTCCCTTCTTCTTTCCCCTTCACATGTCTCTCAGCATGAAGTCTCTACCTCAGCAATCTATTTCTTGTGTATTACTTAGACTGCATGTGTAAACGTGCACATGTGTGTCAGTCCTTGTGTGTGGGTGTGGGTGATAAGGCTGTCTTGCAGCATCACTGTGTCAACCAGGCCCCCGTATGCTGTCTTCTGTTGCTTATCACAGCTCAACACAATGTCTCTGCACAATTAGCCATGCATTAGATTCAGTGTGTGTGCGTCTTTGTGTGCGTATCTGTGAGGGGTGACGGCAGAAGAGGTTTCAGAGCCGACTAAATAAAGATGAATAAAAATGAAAATGGAATTTCATCATAAAGTTGGTCTCTCTTTTTTTTGAGAGGGGGTTCTCTCATTACTGTTATACATTTATTTCCCATCAGAAATTCTCGCCAAAACAGGTGGAGGGAGGTAATTGAATTCCCCTCGTATCAGAAGCAGCAGCCACGGTTGTGATTACCAGTAATAACAGATTCCGACCATATTGCTTTCTTACCTCTCTGTATTGATTCAGCTCATCTCTAGAAACAGAATGCCACATGAACTGCAAATCGATGCAAGTGGTTTTATCACATGTGCATATAGGCCACGTTACCATACTATGCTGCTGTCTGCAGGCATGGCCTTAAAATTTTCAACACAAGTGTGACTAAAGATGCTGCCATCATATAAGAGGAGCTTAGAGAGAGTGTGCAGCAAAAAGGTTTGCATATATCGTAGAGGCAAATGTAGCATTACCTCTTAAACTTTTGCAATGGTAAGAAATGATGCCAACTATATATTGTATCTTTATTTTACAAATAAACATATCAAAGAAAAAAGTTGAGCATTGGTTTAAAGCCTACTTTGAAATCATTAAATGAAATTGGGAGCAAGAAAACTGGACAAAAACTGTTTTCTATTCACAGATTTCCTTTGCTTAATACTCAACAATTACTGTACAACTGTTCTAATAAAGGTTAAAAATGTTGTTAATAAGCTCTACAGCAAAGAAAATTGCCCTGGTTATCTTACAGAGAAGTGTACAATTATTGCCATCTACTGTGAACCCTCACTGTTTCTTCTGTAAAAGAAGATGTTTTCATAGTAAACAGTCATTTCTGTATTAAATCCAGTCAATAATGAGTTTTCTTTGCCACTGGCTTATTATAGTAGGTTAATGTCTCCCAACAGATGTTTGTCAGTAATGAAGGCTCTGCTTTGGTCAACTTTTATCATTACAGTTTACTTAACAATCGTGACCGGCAGATAAAAGAAAAATCTTGTGACTTGTCTTTTTGTGTGTGTTCCCTGCAGGATGTTGTTGTGGTGGGAGAGGAAAACTTTACTACCCCCTGCTATGTGCAGATGGACTCAGAGGCTTGTCACATTTTGACAGAGACACTGGGCACGTACTGCCTGGTGGGCCAGTCAATGTGCAAAGCGGCCGCTAAAAGGCTCAAACTGGCTGTTTTCGGGCCTGTCTCCTGTACAACTGTGGACTATCACATCAGGATTTATTGTTTGGATGACACTCAGGATGCACTTAAGGTAATTTCTAAAAACCAACTGTATTAAAAGTTCAGTTTCTTTAAAACAATGTTTTTTAAATACTTTATACCTTAGTTAGTTCTATTGAGACACAAATGCTTCAAAAGCACGGCATACAATTTAGCAACAGCTATGCCAGGATTTTGTAATGCTTTGAAAACTACTGAAGAGTTTTTCTTTTTCACCTCTCATATTAATATTCTTTCCTGATCATTTGCATTTGAAATTAGCTACAATACAGCTAAAACAAAATGGATTTTATAAAGTCATGAGCAGAAGCATCTTCACCCCTCGTCTTGTGGAGATGCGCCAAGAAGCAGTAAACAAAACAGGGTCAAGCAATGTCAGAAGAGAGATGCATTAGAAATTTAAACAAATTCAAAGCACCGGAGGGGCCATCTGATATGGGAGATTAACATTGGTAATTTATTCGCGCAGTGATAAGTCAAGTGTCACTGCGGCACACAGCCAGGCACATAATCGCGTAAACATCAACACGCACTCAGTTGGACTAGCTGAAGTAAACCATTGTTGCTTGAAAACAAAATTCAAAGGCTGACTTTTAATGATGAAAAGTTTTTTTGTGGGTTAGCTTAAGTTTAAGAGCAGACAAAGGGAAGTTTGTCCAAGATTGATCATGGAGAAAAAACAATGTCTAATTTCTGCTCTTAAAAACTTAGACAGTATCTTAGGGTTTATTTTCTTTCATTTGATCTTTTTGTCCACAGTACAACAGCCTGCAGACGTTAGCCTTATTTGCATTTACTTTTGTATACTCTGATGTGTCTAAAATAGTACCATGCAATTCATTAACAATTCAAATGTGATGGATAACCTTAAAATGGTAGCAAGACACAACAAAGTAAGGCTTATTTCACAATATACAATAGACATCTGTATTGGATAAAATCTCTTTATGTCTTGAAATATGATTAAAAACTAACAACTAAGGCAAAGTTGAATTTCTTCTAGCTGATGTGTTTCCATTGTTTAAGGTTGATTTTACATATAAAGGAGTTGATAACAGAAGATTTGGAAACATTTTGAGAAGAAAATACTTATTTAGATTTAAATTTTCAACGGTATATGTGCTGTAACACTGGTGGTTTATTTTCTTCTTGAATGTTCATTGCAACATTGTGCCAACATTCATAGGTTCATATCCCCTTCAATTCTTTTTTTATTGCCAAATGTTTAACATTATTGAAGAGGTCTTTAACTAGCTGTAAATAAAACAAAATGGCCCCAGGTAGACTTGTTAATGGATTTGCCAAGGTATGTCACCTGTTATTAAGACAATACAGACACAACACAGCTTTCTTCTTTTTGTCAGGATTTGGCCATCTTAGTCCCATACCTACTGTGATTCTTGTAAAGAACCTGTAACGTGAATGGAATCATAGAAAAAAATTAAAACCAACCCAAATTTTAAAGCCATGAATAGATAATAGATTAAATAATAATTGTGAAATCATAAATGTTTCTGATAGCTATAAACAATCTTACATTTTCTATTCTAAGAACATGTGTCTGAAGTAAACGTATGTTGTTTTCAATATTTTAGTGTAAAAATTGCTGACATGATAATTGGTCTATATTTATGTTTCTGCACACTACAGCTTTACTTAAATATTCTTCACCTCTAATATTTACCTCAGTAGCCACATTGTTATTAAAGCATTAAGAAGCATAATGCTAGAAATTTTTATAGCCCTTTGCAATTATCACTAGGTTAACCAAAGTTCCTTACGATGAGTGAAATAAAATGAAAAAAAAAAAGCACACAAGCATAACAGCATTAAACAGCATTTAAGTCTATCTATTTCTTAAGTCTTAGTTTAACTGGGAGTTTGTTCCAAAGTCTAGGAGCTGCCACTAAAACTGCTGAATCCCCCCAGTGCTTATATTTAAACCTGGGCTCTTCAGAGAGTAGTTGATTGGAGACCCCCTAGACTCAGCAATACACCAACACAATGAAAAGATGCCATAAACATGACAGAAAAAATAAAAATAAAATATGTATTAAAAGTTTAAGTAAACGGGATTCAACTACTGATGTGATCCATTTTATTATGGTTTATCATTAAGCAGCAATATTCTATATAGTTTGGAGGTCAACTGAAATACAGGGAATTGCTGTTGTCCAGATACAAAGTTAAGAAAGAGCAGGCAGTCTTTCCAAGGTCATTGTGATTAAAACGATTTTGGCTTAGGCCATAAGTAAAATAAACTTTCCATAAGCAAATGTGTTTATCCATTTGTCACATTATAAATTTGAGTAAAACACTAAATAATGCTTTAAAATTAATATGAAGATAAAAATGTAAAAATGTGTCTTGCTGCACTGCCTCGATTAAATCCAGGGAACAAAACCAGTTAAATATGTGATACCATCTAAATCAGTAGTTCCCATTTGTTTCAAGAGTTTATCACTCATTGTAGGGAGTAATTACACAAGACTAATCTTTTGTGAAATGTTTTACAAATGACAATTATGAGTGGATGATATTAAGAGACACAAAGCTGTGGATGAATTATAAATTAGTTTGTTTTTTGATTTTTTTTTCTTTATTTCTCACTACTCGTTGTACATAGGAGGTTCTTCAAATGGAGACCCAAATGGGAGGGAAGCTACTGGATGAGCCAAAGACTCTGAACTTCAAAGACAGCACACATAATTTGAGACTGTCGATTCATGATGTGCCACATGCACAGTGGAAAAGTAAACTTATCGCAAAATATCAGGTGAGAGAAATCTATACAGGAGTCAGCACAGAACTAATAATACACTACATCCAATGTAGTATACTGTACATGGAATGCTTGGACATGCAATGCTGAATTATGCAATGTTATGGTATGTTTTCTTTGCATGCTCTGCAGGAGATACCTTTCTACCAAGTATGGAGTGGCTGTCAGAGAACTCTTCATTGTACCTTCACTTTGGAGAGACTGAGCTCAGCCACCACAGAGGTCAGCTGCAAGCTGTGTGTGCGGCAGGTAGAGGGAGAAGGGCAAATCTTTCAGATCAGCAGCACATTAGAGGAGGTAAGTTTTTAGAGTGCTTTCAGACTAATTTACATGTTTACATACTCAGCAGATCGAGACAAACAGCATGTGCATGCCAACAGGCAAGCTCAGATGTGTTATGCTAATACTATTTGTGCAAGTTAATTGCAGAAGATAGGTTTCAAAAAGCAGAACAGCTTTACAAAGTAACACTGTAGATTATTTATTTGCCAGTTATTTTTTTCCTATGTAAAAGGTGCTAAAGTCACAATGTTTTTTCTCCTTTTCTTGACACTGAGGCAAGGTTTCTGTTATGGGTCTGTGGCACTGCTCAATCATTCATGATGCTGCTACAGGTTCCATTGTGTGACGAGAATAACTCTGCTTTGATTTTGTGTGAGAGTGTAACCAAAAAGTCACAGAAAGAGTTGTGTGTTTATGTCAGATTTTTCTTGCTGCAACTAATAGGAACAACATTACATCTTTTGCATTTTTTTGTGGGGTTTTTTGTCCTTTTTTAAGTCTTGCAATTTAAATCTTTGGATATAAACTAAAGGATTTTTCCCACATTGAAATAAGTGTGAAAACTGCCCTTATTTTGTTCCCCTGTTCACTGGATGATTGGCATAATAATAATGTAACCTGTTGTTTTCTTTTAAAATTGAACATACGGCTTTACTTTTAAAGATATTCTCTTTTTGTGGATTGACTTTTATAACCATACACAAATTATTTTATCTATTGATTGCCCCCTAATCCAAGCTCTGCTATGTGCTCCCTTATGCCACTGTGCATGCCATGTCATTGCAAGCCATGTCACTGCTAGTTTCCTCTTGCAGCACAAGCACTCTACTAGTGTTTATATATCCAGTGAGCTGTGGTGGATTAAAACTTACAAATGGCTAATCTAACAAAGTACAATGTAACTATCTTCTTTCGCCAAGTTAGTGTGCATGAGGTTGACGATGCTCTTGCTCGCTTATACATGCACATTTGATAGATATTCCCCCTGAGGAGCAAGAGAGCAGGTAGAATGGTCTTGAGCATGCGCAGTATTAAAAATGTAACTTGGACATTTCTAGCCTGCATGTACACAAAATATAAATTTTTATACCTTTAATTAAGCGCCCACCATTCCTATGTTCGCTCAAGGTAAAAATCAAAGACTTGAGGATTTAAATATTAAATAAGCTCATACAAGTAAACTGTGTCCAAACATCTAACGCCTAAATCCCTCAATCATTATATAGAGTGGGGAATATATAGTGAACTTCATAGCAAACTCAATTAACTGACCTTTTGGACAGATTATCACTACCTTTTTCTCCCTGTTGGTCACGTAACTCCTCCTCCACTGTTCGTTGCCTGCGCCATCTTTGTTGGTCGCCGCTGTCGGGTAGCGACAGCCTATGGCGACAGCAAATCCCATAATGCTTTGCGAGGAGAGCTTTCTGCGCAAAGCATTTTGGCATATATCTGCCTCTTCTGAGGCCTTTCTTATCTTCTCATTCACTTCGTAGACACATTTTCAAAGAACTGCGGGGAGAATGGTGAACTTCAGTGACTGTCCGAAACGGTTGCTCACTGCACATATACGCCTGAAAGTGCACATGCGCAAAAAAAGATAGCTAACAGGGGACGAGCACGTAGGATGGCCTTACATAAACATATCACCAGAATAATTGTCAATGAGGAGGACCACTTTTTTGATAATCCACCTAGAAAAAAGAAAATCCTCCACTATACCTTTAAGTTGTCTTTCATTATAAAGCGCCTTTTCTGTAGCAGTACAGAGCATCAGCTAAATACTATGTACAGCTGTGTTTTCTCCTAAATATGTATTCATGCTATGTGCTAGGGTTTGAAATTGTAGAGCGCTTAAAATTTTTGTTGATCTTGAAAGAAATTGTTAATGCCACTGTGTAAAAAAACTGTGGGCTTATCAATTTGAAATTGGCCACACTTACAGTGGACTTACAAAAAATGTGCACTCTATGTTTGACTGTTAAGAAACCAAACAGGGAATTATAAATGAATGTTTTGAAATCATCCAGTCATCCAGTAGCGTTGAACAACTGAAAGCAAAGCTGGTCCTTAGCATTTATCATTCCAGCATATGGTCACAATGTCCCTTTGCATCAGTCCCTCTGTCCCTAGCCTCAGAGAATGTTTGGGTAGAAAAAGAGAGTTAGTGGACACAGCAAATAGATGCTGCTTGCATCAACTGTGACAGTTGTTGTTTCCCTCTGCCAAGCCATGTTTGTTAGTATGTAGTCTCCTTTCAGCTCAGGAATGCTAGAATAATGAGACGACTTAGAAACAGATGGAGATTGACAGCAACATGGGAGAGAGGGGACTTGGCTACAGATTCCCGTGTTTGTTCTGCTTTTGTATTGATTAAGCGTCTCCTGTGTTACTTTGGCCACAAGGAAGACAAGCTTAAGAGAGATGAGTAGAGCTTTTGGCTAAAAGGATATGGCTGGATAAATTTGAATTTGAAATATGCTTAGCTGAACTGCCATGTGGATAGATATTAATAGCCATGCCTATACTTAACGAGGATTTCTAAGTGTAACTGTGCTCTTTACATATGAGTTCCATTTAAATCTTTACAGTTATTGTTCAAAGCAAATACTTGGTCTTATGACCCCTTCTGTCATCTTTCCAGGAAGTCCAGTGCATAGACACGTCCCTGATGGATCCTGCCAGTAATATCACAACCTTAATGGGGCCTAATGCCTTCCGTATTCCTTTATCCATCAGACACAAGTTGTGTGGCAGTTTGGATGCACCACAGACCAGAGGCAACGATTGGAGGATGCTGGCTCACAAACTCAACCTTGACAGGTAGCACACACATCTATTTTTATTTGTTTACTTCTTGTTTGTTTTGTTTGATCGCCTTAGGTGTGTCACTGGCTTTTAATTATGTGCTCAGACAATTGTTTTCAGAGACAGAATTTACCGCTGCCTGATGAAATCACAGAGTGTAATTAATTTGGAATGGAACACTGAGGTTACTGTGCATTTTACTTTCACTTATCTGTTCTTGATGGTTGCAAATGTATATTATATTATATTATATTATATTAATTTCTAATTAATGTTCTTAAGTTCTGTAGTTGTTTAACTTTTGCATGGTGGCTGTTTAGATACACGGATATACTCCAAAAAGACTTGCAAACTATCCTCTACAATTATACACATATATATATATATATATATATA